GCCCCGAATCCCGAAGTTACCGGAGCTGCGCCTTCAAGATCAGAGTTAACGGCCCCGCTTGCGGGCGCGCACCTGCCGCGATTTCGTGCCGGAGTTTGGTGGCTCGGGACCGGGCCGGACCGGGGCGGAGACCTCGGGGCGCTCGCGGCGGGCGGGACGCGGGCGGCTTGCGGGAGCCGCGGTGGGAGCGCGCGCCGGCGGGCGTAGGCGGCGCCCCGCTCCTGGGAGCGGGACCCGGGCTGCCCGCGGCGGCCCCCGGCGCGCCTCGGTGCCCCGGAGTCGGGGAGGCGCGGGGCGCGGGCAGGCTCTGTGGGGTCACTGTGTTTTCTCCTCTTACTTGGGGTGCGTCAGGACGGGTGTGTAGTCCGCACCGTGCGGCGCCTGGAAGCGTCGTTTACTCGAGTGTTTGTTTTTCCGCTTTTCCTTCCTGTTGAGAAGCGTGTCGCTCGCGTAGCAAATCGGAAAGTCAACCCGAAGTCGGGTCAGAGTCGCGCAGGCTGGGTTACCTCTCCTGCCGCCCTTCCCTCCGGGCGACGTGGACTTGCGGGCGCCTTGGGCTCTGCGCGCGGGCGGGCGGCGCTCTCGTCGACGGGAGTCGCGGCGCGTGACCCGCAGAAGGCAAGTCAGGGCATCGGGGCCCTGAGCAGACAGACCTCTGGGGGCTAGACGGGGCCGAGACCCTGCAGTTCCAGCTCCCCCTGTGGCACGGCCGTCGCGCGCCCTTCCAAAGTGTAACTCGCTTTCGGGGGCGGGGGGTTGCCCCTTGTCTGTGTCTGGAGCCCGGCTTGCATGTTGGAGTGAAAGGAAGTGGCGGAGGTGCGTCCGCACGAGCGGAGCCGATTCCCAGCCCCTTCACGCGCGAGAGCAGCTCGGCCTCCCGATGTCTGGATTCGGTGCCTCCCTCTCTCTCTGCCCCTCCCCCTGCTTGTGTTCTGTCTCTCTCAAGAATAAATAAACATTAAAAAAGAGAGAAAATATCCAGATTTATGGTTATACTTTTTTTGGTAATTATGAGACAATTTCAGCACCTGGCTTCATTTGTCTAGGTGTTTAAAAGGAAGCCGTCTTTTTTCCTCCTGTCGTTGGAGTGAGGCTGAGAGCATGCTGTGTTTATATTTGCGAAGTCCGGTGAGGTCCTTGAAACAGTTCAGCCGTTCAAAACTGGACGTTGGGTTTCAGTTTGAGCAACTTCATTCCTGGACCTGTAGCCAGTTCCTGGATTGGTTGCTCTGTGTCAGTGGCAAAGTCATTCCTATTTTCACAGAAACCTCAGGGCTTTATTGTAGAGTCATCACTGAAGCAAATCTTGGTAGATGGGACTTGTACATCCCTTTGGTAAAGGTTGGTCCTTTGGGCCAAAACAAAGAAAAATGCCAGATAATGTCTCGGAATCACTCTCAACTGAAACACCGACGAATGAATGCCGTAGGCTTTGGGCAGCCCTGGTACCTCTGAGCTCTCAGCCCGAGTGGCGAGTCCCCTGCGGCCCGTTGGCGTGCCCACTGTCCATGGTGCTGAACACGTGTCCTCTGTTTCTCTCTCCGTCTTAAATTTCCAGCGTGAGAGCGTTTTTTGGAATATGTTTAAAAATCATTTTCGAAATTTACACAACTGAGGAAAAGTTGAACAGGGCAGTTCTGTTGAGCCTGAATGCAAGCATATCTTTTAGAAACTCAACCCATGTTTTTGTCTCTTTTTTCAAATGGGTGATTGTGCTGACTCAACATTACCTTTCCCTTACTTAGTCTCCTTCTCACCAGGTGGGAATTTTCTTGCTGGAGTATGGACATCAGGTAATAAACCATTGAAATTAAGTGAGAGCCTGTTTCCTTAACAGCCACCCTCTTAAAAAATGTACCTTTACTATAATATGTACACATATTTGTACGAGAGGCAGTTTGTTTTTCTCTACACAAGGTCAATTGTAGCATCCCTCACACTCATGTGGTACTTCCCACCCTTCCCAGAGCGGGGCTCAGGCCCTCTGTGTACGTGGTGGGCCTGTTGGGCAGGAACCAGGCATTCTTGCGTGTTGGAGCAGCATCTCCTCTCTCTTCTGTAATTTTGAGGACATCCTTGTAAAGCATTTTAGATAAATTTAGGTAAATTCTTTATTCTCTTGAGGTTAATTTTCTGTTCCTTTAGAATTGCCCCATAGGTTGGCAATAAAAAATAACGGGTACAGAGATTCTTCCATATGATAGTAAATTGTGCATCAAACTATGCACAGCTGTTGAGGTGTTTTGTTGTGAGTATCTGAACTAGTTCTTTGGCCCCATCAACTGAATACTTAACTCAGGTCACCCCGTGAAAGAGTCACCTGTTTTGTTGAGGGAAACCCAGGGCTTCTTTCTGCCTCCTCCAAGCTTCAGAAATAGTGTCTGAGTGCCCACTCTTTGCCAAGGCCCCTGCTGTGATCTGGAAATGCACAGGGGAATGATACAGAGTATTTATCCTTGAAGGACTCCACTTTGGATTGAGGAAAGGACATGCAAACTGATGGTTACAGGGGGCCACACTCAGTACTGCAATTGGGATGCATAAAAAGTTGGGTTGGTGTGTTGAAGAGGGGTAATGAATTTAGGCTGAGAATCAGGGAAGGCTTCAGAGAGGAGGTAGCCTTGGCCTGAGACCTGGAGGGTGAGTTGTAATTGTTTGGGCACCGCTGGGTATAAATTCATTACAAAAGGACAAGAAGGTTGGTGTAACTGGAGAATAGGATGTGTGGTGGTTGAAGGTGTGAAAGGCATTGTGGAAGTGTTGGGGCTCAGAGGCGTGGGGGCGAGCTGAGGGGAGGTTGTGTGGGAGGCAGAATAATGGCCTCCCACATCCTAATCCCCAGAACCTATGAATATGCTGTGTTATGTGGCAAAGAGAATTTAAGGTAGCAGATGGAATGAAGGTTGCTAATCAGCTCATTTTAAAATAAGGAGATTATTCTGGATTACCCTGGCGGGGGAGGGGGGCAGAGTAACCACAAGGGTCCTTAAATATGGAAGAAGAGCTAGTGTCAGAGTGCTGTGAAATGAGGAAGACTACCCATCATGACTGCCTTTGAAGATAGAAGGGGTTATAAGCTAAGGCATGTGGGCAGGCTCTAGAAGTGAGAAAAGGTGAGAAAATGGATTCTCCCCCAGAGCCTCTTGAAAGGAACACAGCCCTGCCGACACTTTGGTTCTAGCCCAGTGAGACCTTGTGTCTCACTTCTGACCCCCAGAACTGTAAGGTACTTAATTTCTGTTGTGTTAAGCCACTACATTTGTGGACATTTGTTAGAGTGGCCTTAGGAAACTGATACAAGTTGGGACTGCTCTAGAAAGTTTTAGCTGGTGAAGTTTAAAGAGGAAATAACATGGTCAGATAGGCTGTAGAACACAAAACTGTTCAGCTGCTGTTGGGAGGAGGTTGCCCCAGGTAAGCATGGTTCTGATCCCTTGTTTCATCTTGGCAAGATTGGCATATGATACTCTTACCTGGCCTAAGTCTCACCTGAAGTCATTCTCCTAGTCGTCTGTCCAGTCTCCACTCTTGCTTATTGCCATCTCCCACTGGCCCATTTCCTTTGTGCTGGACACTCAGGAGAGAGTGGACCAGGTCTACATCTATAAGTGGGATTGTGGGGTCATGTAGGATGGGCCCAATTCCAGCCTCAGAGCAGTCATCCAAGTGTTTTCCAAACAAAGGTTTGTTTCTTCACATCCTCTCTAATCCTTTGTATCTTCAGATGTCTTAATTTTTGTCAGCTAGGTATGAACTCACTGTTTTAGTTTGCATTTTCTTGATTATTGGTAAGTTTGAAGATTTTTATATCCATTTATTAGCCACTTGGGTTTCTTCTGTAAATTGTATTAATATATTTGTCCATTTGTTACCTGGGTTGTCCTTTTTAAAGCTTTTTAGAAGTCCTTTAGATATTCTGGTTTCTATTTGTGCCCTGTTTTTTTTTTTTTTAATCCTTTTAAAAATGCTGTTTTGATGAAAAGATGTTTAATTTTTAGGTCAAATTTATCAATCTTTTCCTTATGGTTTGTGGTTATTAAGTCTTATTTAAGAAATTCTTTGTTACCCCAAGTCATAAGATATCCTCATCTTTAAAAAAAAAAAAAAAAGGCTTGAACATTTGCTTTTTGTATTCTACTCTGAACTTATTTTTGTGTGAGGTGTAAGGTAGACATACAGTTTTAGAACTTTTCCCAATGTATAACCAATTGTACTATACTATTTATTATACTATTTATACCATCCTTACCCCAGTGATCTGTGGTGCTTCCTTTGAAACATACAAAATTTTACAACTATATGGATCTGATTTCTGATTTCTCCATGGAAATAATGATAATTTCGTTTCTTCCTTCCTAGCCATTAAATCTTTTATTTGTTTTTTGTCTTATTTCCATCGTTTGGACACTAGGCAAAGCTGTATAGAAATTTTGATAAGGCTATGCTAATACTGTTTTACATTTTAAA